GTTTGCAATGTATCAGCCTTCAAAAATAAATATTTTCACTACCTCTTCGTGTATTAGAAGATATCTTTACCACTAAAATAGACTGGATAACATGAGCTAATGATTCCATTGATTTTTAGCAATGTTTAAGATAAAGTTCTAATATGATCGAATCCAACATCTCCTTTCATTTTCTCTGAGATTTGGCTAGTAACACTGTAAAGGCAGTAAGAATCACAGACTTGAAAGAATCCAGCCTCGATGAGAAGAGCAATGTGACGGAAGGCCACATGACCGCCTCCTCTCATGGGGAGTACTGTGCAATGGGGAGACGGGGAGGACTAGCAGGAAGAAGAGAGGAACAGGGAATGGGGAGGCAGAGAGGTACAGTGCACAGAAGAGTGACTGAGACAGAAATTCCACAAACTGATGCCCTCCTTCCTCCTACTCCCAATCCTTCACCGTACATCCTATCCGCACACACAGCCAAACACAACCACGCAAAGCTGAAAGAGGACCCGGAAACCTTGATCCCCTCCAATGAGATCCAAGTGATGCGCTTTGATGTGTGAGGAGGTCTACGAATACCTATACCAGGCAACCTTTTAGGGATAAATTTTCTGGGGAGAACATCTTTAGCCTCAGATGTTTCAAAGAGGCGAACGGCCGCAAAAAAGTTAAGAGCAACTAACACGGAAAGACTGACAGGGTCACTATCTGGCTTAGTTCTTCCCTTCTGCCCTCCTCTAGCTTTCAGGAGCAAAGTTCATCTTAAGACAAGGTAAACTGACACTCATCCAATCAATTCCCTCTTAGAATACTGTGTTCTTTTCAAATATCACACATGTGCACTCTCGCACGCACACACACACACACAGCATTCTGAGATCAACTTGGATGAAGGTCTGAAAATTATTTTCCTGAGGACAATTGAAAGATCTTGATATATTTAGCCTGGAAGTATATATTAAAAGAAAGTATGCTTGCTGTTTTCTGATTTATCTTGTAGAGAGAGAAGAGAGAAAGTTCATGTTGTTCTGAAAGGCTGGGTTGGAACAGGTGTACCTTGCCAGAAGGCAGAGTTTCATTCAAAACAAGGAAAACCTTCCTAACAGAGCTCTGCTAGAAGGACAGGGGGGCTCCCTCTCACCTAAGTTCAGCAAGGCAATCTTCTTCTTTTTTTTTTTTTGTGAGGAAGACTGCCTCTGAGCTAACATCTGTTGCCAATCTTCCTCTTTTTTTTTCTCTCCCCAAACCCCCAGCACATAGCTGTATATCCTAATTGTAAGTCATTCTAGTTCTTCTAAGTGGGATGCTGCCACACCATGGCTTGATGAGTGATGTGTAGGTCCCTGCTCAGGATCTGAACTGGCGAACCCCAGGCCTCCAAAGAGGAGCACGTGAACTTAACCACTTGGCCATGGGACCAGCCCCAAGGCAATCTGCTTCAAGACGGTAGATTATGAGCGTTGGCAAAGAGCTTCCTCACTGAATGGAAAATTGAGTGTTTCCTCAATTCTAAATTTTATAAAACCAAAAGCTTTCTTTCCCCTCTCCGCAGAATGCATGTATTTAAAGAGCCTTGTTCCCTAATGAAATAATGGATCCAGTCAACAAATGGTGCTGAGACCATTAAGAAAGGTTCACAGGGAACTTTAAATGGAAGGATCAGGCTATGGACATTTGAACCCACTGATCAATCTTAACACATTCCCCACAGAGGAATGACCAGATGTGATATGCTCCTAATGTGATTCAATCACCACCTGGGAAGGAATCCTGCCAAAAACCAAAAACCAAAAAGCCGCACCTGAATCTGATCAAGCCTCTAGAAAGTAACAGTTTACAGAAACACGGGAGATAGGGAAACATGTAAAATGATACCACAAGGTTGCAATCAGCCAAATCCAGAAGGTAGAAAATTCTACATGACAAATAATCCAGTCTCTTCAAGAAATAAATGGCATGAAGAGAGCAGGAAAGAGGTTGAGGAGAACTGTTAAGAAATTTAGAGGAACTGAAACCAAATGACAACCAAATGCCATATGTGACCCATACCTGAATCCTGATTTGAACCAACCGACTGTGAAATGTTTTTGAGAGAATAGGGGAAATCTGAACCCAGACTAGTTATTAGATGATACGAAGGAATTATTGTTAATATTTAGGTTTGATAATGGCATTGTGGTTAGGTTAAAAGAATAGGCTTTATTTGTGAGAGACACATATGGAAATATTTATGGGTGAAGTAATACAAGTGAACAGGATTTGCTTTAAAATATTCCAGGAAAAAAAAGTGGAAGGGGTGGGGAGGGAGGCAGACAATGGATGAAATAAGGCTGGCAAAATGTCAAAAACAACTGAAGCTGGGTGATGAATACATTATTCTCTCTCCTATGTAGGTCTGAACATTTCTGTAAAAAAATTAGGGAGAATGGCCAAATTATAGAACATTCATAAAATGGAATGTTATACAGATGTTTGAATGTGGTAGGTCCATATGTTCTAATTGGAAACCTGATTTATTGCTAAGTGATAAACTGTAAGGCATGGATTAAGGTCCTCACCACTGACTTTGTGTGATACTGAAGTTACTTACTTATTCATTCTAAAGCCTCAGCTCCCTCACATGCAAATTACGGATAACAATAACACCTATTTCACAGAACTGTTATGAGGATTAAATGAGAGCAATTCACATTCAAGAGCTGTGTACAGAACATGGCCCAAGTCAGCATTCAAAAAAATCTGCCAATAGTATTGTTACTGAAGAATTAAGTTGCAAGAAATATTTATCATATGATCCCATTTCTGTAAAAAACAAAAGACTATTTATGTATAACATGTATACATATATAAGTTTGTACAAACATGGTACAATGTCTAGAAGGATCTATACCAAACTGTTAACAGTGAGGGGTGGGGGAGGGGGTACAGGAGCAGAAGGCACGATGTCTGTGGATAGAGACACTTTTACTTCTGATCTTATACACTTAGGTATTGTTTAAATGTGCCACAAAAGTATGCATTGCTTTGGTAATTTTAAAACATCCTATGAATAAATTTTTTAAAAAGCTTTGCTTTAGGCTATTTAATACTTGGCATCAACTAAAAGGATTAGGAGCTGAACAGTTCTGTGGTTTTTCCTGAATCTGATTTTATAATGTAGTTAGTCAGCACTGTTGTGGATTTCTTGAAAATCAGCTAACATTGAAAATAAAATGTCAACAAAAGCCAAGTCTGATTAGCTTTTGTACTGTTTAACCATCAGTATTGTTCAGTGAGGTGAGAGTTGTTTCTATTACATTCGCTGACACATTAAGCATAAAATATTCAATATTCTATTTGCAATGACTTTCTATGCCAATGTCATCTAACCGGAATCTCGGGTTTCAACTATATATACATAACATTTTGTATGTATATACTGAAGTTTATATATGGAGAAAACAGAATACGTTTAACAAAGGATTGAAATTCACAAAGCATTGTAAGTACTCACTTGAAAAATGTTCCTGGTCCACACCATTACTACTTCCCACTATAGTACAGAACTGTGTATTTGTTATCAAATTGTGCATCCCAAGAATAGCTGTAAATATAGAAAAAGAAAGCTATTTTTCATTTCCATCAGTTTTAAACATAAAGAATTAATTTTAAAACCAAATTTTCTATCAAGGATTTTAACATTCTCTGGACATTTTCCTACTTAATAAAATACAGATTCTGCAGCCAAAAAAAGGAGACAACATGACTAAAAACCACCTACAATCTCTTTCTCATCAACACCTTGTTATTTCCCCCACATTTCTGAATTTGGATTTCCTTGCATTTCTGAACTCAGACACACAGCTGGAGCCAGCCTAATCCTAAATTAAATCTATGCTTTGCTCCCTCTAGTGGCTAAGACAGAACATTGAAATGATCTATTCTTGCTGATCGTTCTTTTCACAAGGCTTTTAGGAACATGATGTGATAAAAGGCAGATTTTCAACTTAACCTTCACGATTTTTACTTCTGTTAACTTTCATATTAACTTACATTCGTATGTCAGCCGGGAGTAGAATACTAAAAGCATAGTTGACTTCTCATATTTAAGATTAAAGAAGCATCCCTCAAAAACAACACTTAGGAGAAACAAATTTGGTTTTGGTTTTCAATGCCCTTTTCCACAAATAGGGCGGAAGCTACAGTATGCCGCATCTTGGGGCTACAGTATGGCCCATTCCACACTGATAAACGCACAACTTACAAATCCATCAGTCCTCGGCCTCCCAAGGAAAAAGACACCTGCTCTGGCTGTGGTACCACACCTTGATTGCCCCTTTCCAAAGAATCATCACTGCTCCTTTCAAACATGTTAGTTCTTGGGGTTACCTGGTACTAAGGTCTCCCCATGCAGCACATTTTTCTATCTAGGAAAATGGGTGTGTGTGGAGGTAGATGGGGAGATACTGGTCTGGCGATGATGAAAATAACAGGGGGGTTTGGAGTGTTCCATATACACTTCAGGAAAGTTGGGAAAGTGGTGAGTACAGCTCATGACTGACAGCTGCATCTGCTTTCCAGTTACCCATCTTGGGGTCTCCTGATAAAATGGGACAGCAGTTCACCCTGGAGACCCTTTTTCAGTCCTCAGATGGGACAGCTTCCAGCTGAGCACCGGCTGATGAAAGATTTTTATACACTTTCAAATATGGCAACATGGAGAAAGATGTCAAATAATACAATAAATTCCATTAACATAAAAATTTCGCCATTGAGAGAACTTAAAGAAATGAAATCCTTTATGTCAGATCTATAGAGAAAAAAACAAAGTCAAATATGGGTCACTAACTCAGTGGCACTTCGCCAGGCAAAGGAAGCATCTGTATAACGTATGTAGGAGTGTGCTGGTGCCCGCTCCCCTCCACACTCACCCACAGATTAATTTGATTTAAGAGATACCTGCAAGGTCACACAATTCTGTATCAGAAGCACTTGTCAAAGCTTCTTCTAATTCCGGATCGAGAGAGACTTTTTCTTCTGTAAAAGTCTGTATTGGTTTCTGTTTAGGGATAAATATTTTCCCTGTAAAATAAAGCAGTTTATTAATTCCACTACTATTGCAATCAACTCATTACCATTTTACTCTAACAAAAATTATTAAAAATATATATAATTGAAACTGAGGAAAAAGTCAAGATAAATAGCTACAATAATTTTGTTTCATCTTCGATATGTATTTATAAGTTTCTTGGGCAATACTTTGCCATACAAGTTAGAACAAAGAAAAAAATCAACTGAGAAATTTTCCTACTTGTGGCAATAAAAATAGGCTCTTTTTGGAGTAATTATGAATTGCTCTACAAATACTGAATTAAAAGACAAAAGAAGGAATGAATTTAAAAAATCTACAAAACTTCAAAGAGATTTAAAAAAACCGGAACCTACTTTCTTATTCTTAAGCAACAAACTCTTATGCTCACTTGGGAATAGCAGAGGCAATTATGATTCCAGAAATTCAAGTTCTAATTGCAAAAAAATTCCTCTATGTCCTGCGTGGTATTCTGAAACTTTTGATCACTGTTCCCCAAAGCCTCAATGAACACTAACAAGATTATCTGTTAAGAAATTAGTTATTCCAGAAACCTAAAATCTTTCTTAGGTGAAAATCAGTATTTTATTACCATATGTTCCATGCAAGATTGACAACATGAAGGAAAGGGAAAAGGTAATGATGCCACTGCAGCGCAAGCCCACCAAACAAGCACACGGAGCAGACGGGGGACTGAGACTGCCTCTGGGTTCTCTCTCTAGACAGGTGACAATTCTAAGTAAATGAGCTCAAAAGGCCTCCGTATGGATTCCCAGAAGTGCCAATTATTTTCTCTTCTGTCAGGAAACAACTAGGGAAATATGAGCGAATATGTGGCCTGATGAATCTATGGAGTGCTCTATGAAAAGCAATGTTTGTGGGCGTATGATGAGCGCATCAAGTGTGTGTACTTCCTGTTCAAGGTGAGTATCAATCAGTGCAACCATACGAATCCGTCCACAATACAGACTGCTCCCAGGAATCTGGCCGAGCTGGTCAAGCATGTTCTGCTAAGTCCATATAAAGGATCGCAAAATTTCTGATACTCCATTTTTTATTTTTAGCATTTCCATTTTGTTCTTTTTAAAAAAATAGTTTCTGTGTCTCTGCTGAAATTCCTCATCTCTTCACACATGCTGTGCACCTTGTCCACCAGATTCTTTGGTATTTTTGTCATAGTTATTTTCAAGTCCCTGACTGATAACACTGACATCTAAGTGATGTCTGAGTCTTCTATTGACTATTTTCTTGACTTAGGGTCACATGTGTCATAAGAAATATGACTGTGTGCTGGGCATTTTGTATTAAAGTATAGCAGAGAGTGGAGGAAAGGATATTTATTCCCAGAAAGGAGCTTGCCCCTTAAGTCAGGGCTGAATCAATATGCTCCACAGTCCAGCTGAATCTGGGCTTTGCTGCAACTTTAGTTTGATTCAGCTCCTCATTGGCTTCGAACATTCTGAGGGCAGGATCAGGACTCTCTCTCCAGCACGGCCTGGCATTAAACCCTCATGAGGTTCTGGAGATCTCCTGAGCTTCTTACCTTTTCGAACTGTGAAGTGGGAGAGATTTCTTCCCATGTGTAGCCCAGGCTGCCAGCTCTCTGAGGGACTGGGGAGCTCTCTTTGTTTTCTGGTCCCACCCCCTGAATTTTAGGCTTTGGCAGATCTTTCCGCCCCACTCTTGCCTTGTCTGCTCTCCCCTCTGTGAAGTTGGGGATGCCCCGGGAGGGGTTTCTCTCAGCTCTCCTGCCTCTCCCTCAGTTCTCCCAGCTGAAAACCCAAGCCTCAGGAATTTCCTCTCGGCTCTGCACCATTGCCTCTGTTCTTGGAGTAGTACCCGAGCACTAAGGGAAGACCTGTAAAAAAGAATGGGGGGTAGTGCAGTCTCACTCTCTCTTGAGGGCTGCACTGTCCAATATGGTAGCCGCTACCACATGTGACTATTTAAATTAATTAAAATTAAAAATTCAGTTCCTCAGTCACACTAGGCACATTTTAAGTTCTCAACAGCCACATTTGGCTGGTAGCTACCAAACTGGTTAGCACAGATATTGAACAGTTCCATCACGGCAGAAAGTTCTAGGGGACAGCACTGGTCTAGGGCTTCTCTGGATTCTAATCTACCATGCCAGCCCATACATGGTCATTAAAAGTTTGTTAGCAGTTAGGCTGACTTCGCCTTTCTCCTCTCTATGGTGGTGTTCTCCTTTCCCCTACATTTCAGTCAGGAAAGAGAGCAGGAGTGGATCGCCTTTCTTATGGAGGGCTTGTCACCTTGTGGAGTCATTTTAGGTTTTATCCCTAAGCACTCTGACAGTTTTTTTAAAAAACTATGATTATGCACTTAGACTGCTTGTTTCAGCATTTACAGTGAGAATAACAGTCTCTTGCAACCTTCTAGATCTCAATCACAAGTCTTTCTGGTCAAGCATTCTCTTATTTAAAAAATGGCACGTGGTCAATCCACAACCTATTTGAATTAGTAAGGACATTTTTACCTGTATATAACAGAATATCCAATTACAAGTGGTTTCAAGTGGTGCTTCTCCAGCTTTAACGTGCATCTTACTCACCTGGCGATCTTACGAAAGTACAGACTCTGATGTGGTAGGTCTGACATGGGATCTGAGGTTCTGCAGTTCTAACCAATCTCCAGGGGATGCTGATCCTGCAGATCCACAGACCACTTTAAAGCAGCACGTGTTCAAACTACACATTTTTACGATCCCAATACGTCCACTGGTAGGTGGCTGTAGGGTGGTTCAGCAGCTCAATGCTGACATCAAGGATCCAGGCTCTTTCCATTTTTCTCTCTGGCTATAATCAGCATGGAGGCCTTTGATTCTCAGGCCATCAGTCTCAAGATGACCTTTGTAACAATAAGTATCAAGTCTTCACTCAAGGTCAGGACAGGAAGGAAGGGCACTTTGTCAATTGTCAACTTTTATAGGGAAAACCGTCCAAGAGATTTCTCCTCGGGTCTCATGGACCAGCACTGGGTCACATGTCCATGCAGCTAGGAAAGCAAGCATCTGGCGTTTTCAGTCTACTTCAGGGATGGGTACTGCCGGTAAGGAAGAAGGGATTTGTGAACTGTTGCTGAATAGGCAACTATAGAGCTTGTCCCAGTCTTGAACCAGATGAAGGCCACTTCTGTGCTCCCCTAATTCCCTGTGCATTTCACTATAGCTACACTTACACATTCTGCACATTTGTCTTCTGTGAGCTTTTCAAGGGCAGGGTCTATGTTCTGTTCATCTCTGCATCCTTGCCTAGCACAACAGTAGGCAATCCAATTTGTAGAATAAATAATTTGGTGATCACCTCCACTTCAACTGCCTCATTTTATAAAATATAATTTAAATGCTCTGGTTCAAAGTTACACGGCAGAGTTAACACTAGAGCGCGGGTTCCTAAACTCTTAACCTAACACTTCTTCCAATAAACTGGTGGTTTTCGAACTTAACATTTTAGCAGTGGACTTTTCCCCTCCAACAAATACCTATGTAAATGGTGGTATGCATAACTGATCTCCTTAGTCAGTACCAAATTTTGGCATTCTGATGATTATTAGATAATCTTTTATTATCGGTTCACAGACAAAGGCAAACCCAAATCATTACATCCTAATAATTCCATAGAACTTTTCTCAGTGGTTGATATTACCATTAAAGTGGCACAGAATCCAGGTGGCATGACTTTAATTGCTGTTTCAGGATAATTACACTTTCCTGAGTTCAATCTTGCCTGCTTTTTTCAACTGTCTATGGCAGTCGTTCTACACATTGGCTGCACATCAGGTTCACCTGGGGAACCTTAAAAAAATTCTGACGTCCAAGTCCCACCCCCAGAGATTCTGATTTACTTGGTCTGGTGTGCTATATGGAGCATCTGGATTTCTGAAAAGCTCTCTAGGGATTCTAATGCACAGCAGCCAGGGTTGAGAACCACTGGATTATGCTATTCACTTACTAAGCAAAACTATACAAGCTATCAAATAGCTGCCTGTGACTTATTCTCGGGACCAATGGAATCTAAAGCATTATAAAAATCTAAAATGTTTATTTTTGTAATCCTCGTCTACATTCCATAAAGGCATTGTTCAAATCTAATTTTTGCCCATGCACAAACTTTTGCTAAAACTTACAAATACAAAATGAATCTCATCAGAGAAAACAACAAAGCAAAACACAACAAAATGTTCAAGGGCTCATGCAAATTCTTCTGTGATTATAGAATTTTGCTCTATTTTATATAGCTTTGAAATAGCTGGGTATTTCACCTGGCACTCCTCTTTATGATAATTTCCCTGTATGTAGAGATTTTTATTGTAGAGGTATTTAGACTATACGATATTATGCTTTTAACAATATTAAAAGTACTTCATATTTCTTCATGGTCAGTTTAACACTAACACACTATATGTGCATATACAAAACCTAGTTATAGAAAGCTAAAAGTAAGGAAATTAGTTTTGTAAGAAAGGATAAACTAGGCAGAATTAAGTTTAGTATTATGAGTACAAAACCTAAGGAGCTCTCCCCAAACTGATTTATAGATTCAAACAATCCCTTTGAAAATCTTAGCTGACTTTTTTTGCAAAAGTGACAAGGTGATGCTGAAATTCATATGGAAATCCAAGGGAACTAGAATAGCCATACAACCTTGACAAAGAACAAAGTTGAAGGACTCACACTTCGCAAATTCAAAACTTAATACAAAGCCACTGTAATCGAGACAGTGTTATGGTGCATAAAGGAAGATATTTAGATCAATGGAATAGAATTGAGAGTCCCGAAATAAACTCTTATATTTATGGTCGATTGAATTTCTACAAGGGCACCAAGACAATTCAACGGAGAAAGAGCTGTCTTTTCAACAAATGGTGCTGGGACAACTGGTTAGCTACAGGCAAAAGAATGAAGTCAAACCGCTACCTCACACCATACACGAATATTAATTCAAAATGGATTATAGACCTAAATGTAAGA